CATACATTTCCTTATAACAGGACACCACAGAAACCAAGCTTGGGCTACCTGTGGTCGCTTGCAAAGCCTGTCATCTTAATAATTACCGTATCGTTAGCATAACAGTAGTAAGTAATATGGTCAAGGCTTTTTGCGTAAACAATAGCTACCGCCAAATACCCTGAGCAATCATTGTTTAATTAAAATAAGAATTCGAGTTTACGCAAAGTGCGTCTTTGCACGAAACCGTTGAAGCACCTTCACAGTCTCAAAACTCAAACATAACCAAAGTTACTTGAGGCATTAGAGTTAATTGGTTTTTAAAAAAAGTGAAGACGCAAGTAAGTATGGCTAAGAAGTTTTTCAATAATGTTTGACAATCTCTGGCAGGCATTGTGGTGAGAATTTACACCCCCTTGCTAATACAAAGGACAAATTAATCGAAGAAGCTTCCGAAATGATACCGCGTGTCGGAGTCTGTCTTTTTGTCGAGGGTCRAGGGTCGAGGGTACCACGTCGAGGGTCGAGGGTACCAAGTCGAGGGTCCAGTTTTACGTCGAGGGTACCAAGTACCAAGTACAGGGTAGACCGAATTACAATGCCTAATATGGAGGAGAATTTCTAACTATTGAAAATATAATTGAAAACATAATTGAAAACCATTCGCGGCAAAGTTGCATTTGAGCCTCAAAGGTCATTTCCGGTTTTATACTTAGGCTCTGTCTGACAAACACGACCGATTTTGTAACGCCATGCTTGACACGTATTCAATACTATATATACTATTTCTTTGGAGCTCCGCTTTTAGGCAGTGCCTAAATCTATATTAAGTTTATATTTCCATTATCCTTGAAGAAAGAAAAAAAAGAATTAAAAATAAAAACCAAACGAATATTTTGTATAATTGGTAACTACGTGAAAAATATTTCAATTTCATTGTCAACGAACAAATCTAATTGGAAACTTAAGACTGAACTTAGGAAATTAGGTTTGAACTTGGGAGCGAATTTCCCAACTGAGTTCCGAAGTTCGCTCGCTAGCTTGTTAGCTAGAAATTATATAACTTGAGATTAAATTAGCTTAACAACCAAAAACAACGGGACTTCGATTGAAGTTTGACTCAGGCGACTGTATTCAAAGTGCATGAGTTGCGATTGTTAGATATTGTAGTCGTCTACTTGTTATTCTGTCATCGACCAGCTCCTTACCAAAAGGAACCGGTGAATTATCAGTTCTTCCTGAAAAAGCCCTTCGCTATAAATGTATAAAATTGCTGCCATGCACGGTGGTCTTTCCCTCCTAACCGAAGATTGGTCCTTCCATGTTGATTTTAACCTCGATTATTACAAAATAAAGCATAAAAACATATATATGTGACAGAGTCAAAAGAACGTTATTTTGAACAATAGTAAATCGGACTTTAACCTAGTTTTAATTAGTTTAATTATAATTTCGGATACTAAGGAATGTTCTTCCTCTATATCAAGTGAAATCTGCAAACAAGTAGTTAATTAATTTCCTGGGATTACATGAGTAATGTTAGCATAAGCCACGTTTTACGGAACAAGTGCGCCTTGGGCGTATTGCGCGTGGATTATTGTAATACATGAGGAATGCAGACTCAAGCATAAATAGAGCTTTTTAAGTAAATTTAGTCAGTACAGCAAGAGAACTTGGAAGAGCGTCGAACCACAGAGTCAAGACAAAGAACTCGCGTCGTTAGAAGACAGAGAGCTGTAATCTCGTTCTCGTTTTGTACTGATTTGTGATGTACTAAGCTGAGTGGTGAATAAACTCTTTTGCCAACACACTTGCAATCTGTTTAGTGATTTGAGCGCTTTGCCGCCGGTTACATATATTTTTATACTATAGTTTTATATAGTTTTTTTTGAATATACTCCTAGACTAATCAAATGAATAACTTAATAACAACAAATGAAGTAAACCGGTTAGCGGAGAAATGGTCGCCCACCAGCAATCAACACAATCGAAATTACTTCAATTGCGCCTCTTAAAGAATCCAAAACAAGGATTTGAAGTGGAAACTATAAAGATACCGTGGGCTGGAAGTTCTCTTCTTCAAAGCGGGTTCTAGAATGAGATCAGTACAGTTTGTTAGGAAACCTTCCCTTTCCCCTCCCCCTCTGTTCCCTTCCGCCTGGTAGGTTATCGGATACTAAATTGTTTTCTCCGGGATTGAGAAAAAGCAGTTTTGCCAATTTTTTCCCTCTGGGTGACGCTAACAAATTTGCATGTTCGCTGTCAACTGCTTACTGCCTGGTTGATATTTTTTTTATTTACTCGTTGTCCATACCAAAATATCAACAGGCTTTTATAACATGTGGTAATTTCTATGTTATTTATAATGTACTAATGACATCCTGAATCCTTATTTTTAATGTAGATAAAAAATGTTTCATATCGTGTATGTTGTGTTATTGTTTACTAATTTTTTCCTCTGTCTTTTTTAAGTCAAGTATATAATATCAAAAATGATAGAGATATCCAAACTGTAAGCTATGCGCACGGGAATACAATAGCGCACATTTCCGGTCAGTTTAATGCATGCTTTGCATCAAGAACTGTCAAATGACGGAGTAATCAGATGAGAAGTCTTTACAAAATATTCGTTTGGTTTTTTATTTTTAATTCTTTTTTTAGGATAATGGAAATATAAACTTAATGTAGATTTAGGCACTGCCTAAGAGCTGAGCCCCAAAGAAATAGTATATATAGTGTTGAATACGTGTCACGCGTGGCGTTACAAAATCGGTCGTGTTTGTCAGAGCCTAAATATAAAACCGGAAATGACCTTTGGGGCTCAAATGCAACTTTGCCGCGAATGGTTTTCAATTATATTTTCAATAGTTAGAAATTCTCCTCCATATTAGACATTGTAATTCGGTCTACCCTGTACTTGGTACTTGGTACCCTCGACGTAAAACTGGACCCTCGACTTGGTACCCTCGACCCTCGACGTGGTACCCTCGACCCTCGACCCTCGACAAAAAGACAGACTCCGCATGTCGTAGTCATGGTCGTGAAACAATAGACCTTAAGAACAATGAACGCAAGATACCGACCGCGGCGGTAGATGAAATAAAATCAAAGTCCCAAAGTAAACTTATTTGTAATCTTTTATGACAGTTTGGATTATTTTATGCGATTTATAAAATGACTAGTTTGTTTTGCGCTGACCTCAGAAGATAGGAACTTGTTAGGTGTAAGATGTATGTCATGTTAGATTATGTCCTTGACGGGTAAACACGACGTTATGCTTCGGTCACGTCGATATTGAAGTGTTTACTTTTACTTCACTACATCAGGATGATTTGAGTTCTTTAGTCCGTAAAAAAGGTTTATCAGTTGTGACTTGAAACTGCAGACAGTTCGACCTACTAACCGGCATACAAGAGTAGAACTTGAGAAGGTTTCAGTAGATAATAGAGAGTTTTAGATTTACGTTCACGGCAAACGTGAAACGTCAGTTGACCA